TAGTTTAAGTAATTGTAAACTTTCCTTTTGAACTTACACTAGTAAACAAATATTTATTACAATAAATTTAAATGTTTCAATTTAAAAATGAAGACACGTGTAATTTTTTTCAAATTAATATTACTTGCTTTTTTAGCTTGATAACTTTTGATATATATATATATATATATATATATATATATATATATATATATATATATATATATATATATTATATATATATATATATATATATATATATATATATATATATATATAAACACACACACACACACTTTAATAGTAATATTTTGTCGAATTTCTTTAGTTTTTCATAAAATGTTTTTTTTTTTTCGTATTTATTGAAGAGTTAAATTTTTAAATATTTATTGTCTATAAGGTTTTCAATTCAAGTCATTTTTATTTCAGCTTTTTATAAACCCCTCTCTCCAGTAGGTTGACATAAGTTAAACACCGTTAAGATATATTAGAATTAAAAACCGCAAATTGGAATTAAAAATTGCATTATTTTTTTTCTTTTTTGTAGAGCCTTTTGCTAAAACTGTTAAATGTTTAAAATATGATGAGTTCTAAACTTTTTATAGCTATATTGTTTAAGTGCAAAAATATACTTTGATGATATTTGAATTACAAATTATGATCTTACTCATCGCAGTGACATGGTAACATTGTCATGGTAACATGGTAGCAATTCTAGATAACTCAGTTTTCTAAATGTAAAGTTTTCTTCATTCCTTCTTTAAATTTAATAGCTTCTTTATTAGTTGATCTGAATATACCAGACTGTGAAGGTGTCTTAATGTCTGCTTTGCTTGTTGATAACTTTGAAGATGTTACTAATTTGGTTGCAGTTTTGGTTTTGCTGTAGTTCTTGTTGGCACTTGTAGACTGTTCTTCTGAATCTTAAGACTCTTGAAAAGACTCTTGTCTTTTGCTTTCAATCTGAAGGTGATACAATCTTTTGTCCTCAATGCAGAGCCGCTAAATATCTTTTTTTGTGATGTCAAAAACTTTATTCAATGGATTGTATTTTCTTTGTTTTACATCGTACGTCTTCAGCACTTGATCTAGCTATCCCTGTACGACTTGAATTGCAAAATGTGAAATATTTAATTTCTTTTAACATAAACTTGATATGCTTCTTTCTCAATCTGCTTTATGCGTTCTCATCTCCCTTTGATCATCGATATATGATATATGAAGTTCATCGATATATGACAATTAAATAAAAGTTAAGAAGTCATAACTCTATTATATATATATATATATATATATATATATATATATATATATATATATATATATATATATATATATATATATATATATGTATGTATGTATATATATATTTATTTATTATACCATTTATTTGCAAGTAACTAGACATGGACTCATTGTATCATTTATTTGTAACCCAACATGTTTTAAAAACTGTTCAAATTCTTTAAAAATGAGAGGGTGTCAATAATTATATACTTGGTGTATGTAATATTACATTCCGTGGAAGCTCATCAAAGCTGTACACCAAATATAATGGGAACTTCCTTGATCTTATCCAAATACTTGGTTAAATAGAATCCAATTTGTAGTCATATTCCGCAAACAATAGCGCTTGATGTGAACTAGTTAAAAAGATAAAACGTTGGATCTAAAAGCCAATTTTTCCACCACCACACTCTGCTGATTGATTGAAGCCACATCTTTCATTTAGTAAAAGATTGTTTTTACTCTAATCTTAGTAAGATTTCTTTTAGTTCTCAAAATTGGTTGTGGTGATTCTGGCTAATCTTGAAATACTGACACTCATTTTCACTTTTTTCAACAGCAAGCTAAGGAAGAAATATATAACTTATTGACAACTTGATTGCTGTGGCAATGAGTTTTTTTATTTCTAGAATTTTCTCTGGTGCAGGCCGGTGTACAAGGCTGCGAAGAGGGAGTGTGGGAGTTGAGTCACTATAAATGGATTTTTTTGTTCATTTTTTTGGCAAACTTGAGCCTGTTAGATATGACATTCGGCAAATATTGACCTTTTAGACCAGTCAGTCAGCAAATTTCAAATTACGATGACATTATTTTTGAATTCTTTTCTTATGTTTGATATTTGCTTAAGTCATATTCTACCCCAGCCGTGTTTACTCAGGGTGTAAAATGTTATCTTGTTAAGAGCTTTGTCAAACTAAACAATAGCAGCAAAAATATTTCATAAGTTTTAAGTAGCAAAGAACTGTCATCAGCTCTATGATTTAATTTGGACAACAACACCACTTGTATTTTGTAAGTGTTTTTGTTGACAAATCTCTTATAATTATTTTTTTTAATGACCTAATTGAGGTTGCCATGTAAAATAATGTTAACAATTCACCTCAGTATTAATAAAACAGAAAGATAACAGTTATTATTCATCGATAAAGTTAACCAAAAGACAAAGACAATTTTAATTAATTATATTTATAGACAACTAGCAGGTATATTAAAAAAGCATCGACTTAAACAATCTGCGTCAATAGTCTAGTGTAGTTTATTATTTTCAAGAATCTATAAAACGTCCGAAAGGTTTAACGAAAAAAAGAAAAACTACCCCTTTTTTGCAACTTTCAAGAGAAATTCTTTTGACACAAAAATAGTTTTTGTTATGCTTGGCAGAAACCTAGTTTTAAAAGCAAAAAAATGTTTCTACATGATGTAAGTATATGTTGAGACATTTTTTTATATAAAAAATGGTTTCAAGTATAGAACGGACACCTCAAAAAATATATATTTTTTTAGGGTTTAAAGAGTTTAATTCCAAAACAGTAACTAATTCAAACAAAGGTTAACCTAATATTAACATATTAGAGTCTTTTGATGTTTTGTAGACTGGTGTTTTGGTCAGTTGTCCCTTATACAAATTAAATTAAGATTTTTTAAACAGGGTAGCTAGAAATAATGAATAAATGAAGAGGAAATGGCTTATTTACCTTCCAGAAACTGATTCAGTTTATTGTCTACCTTGTCATCTGTTTGATCCAACTCCAAAATCATATTTGGGAGAAAAGAAGTTTCTGTGTGAACTTTTTTCAACTACTGAAAAAAGTTCACACAGCAAGCTTTAATGCATGAGACATCACCATTTCATTTCAGTTGTTCTGAGAAATGGATCGAAGCAACAAACAGGGTAAAAAATGAACAAGCTGTTGATTAAGATTTTATCCAACAAACTAACAATTAAGCAGAAAGATGGAGAAGCATTCTTAAGAGAGAGGGTGTCAATAATTATGTACTTGGTGGATGTAATATTGCGTTCCATGGAAACTCATCAAAGCTGTACACCAAATATAATGGGAAGTTCCTTGATCTAATTGTTAAATATAATCCAACTTAGAAGGAGCATTTACGGTATATTAAAGATGGATAAAGACGTTCACAAACGCTAAGTGTCAATATTTAAAACAAAGTAATTAACCTCTTAGCTTCGCATGTAAAAATTGTGAATAAGGTAAAGTTAGGAGAGCAGTTTTTTAGTTATTATGGAATGCACTCCAGACATTCGTCAACAAGGCCAAACTTTTCAAATCATCTGTTCACGAAGAAAATGGAGCAATAACTATGGTATAAGAAATTTTATTGGATACACAGTGTGTGAAGAATCGACTGCTAAAGCTCATTCTAAAATCCTAATTGAAGAAATAAAGTCTAGTAGGCTAGACCTAAACAACTGTAGAAGTCAAGGCTATGACAACGGGTCTAATATGATTGCAATTCAATAAGGTGTTCATGCTCGAGTTTCAAAAAAATACCTACAAACTTCATTTACACCCTGGGGTAGCCACAGCTTGAACATAGTTATATCAAACGGAGAAAAATCTTTGCTGAAGTTTATATTGCTGTTTGGAGTTATTTAAAGAAACCATACAATACTTTCAAAAATGACGTTTTCTTGCCCCTAAATGACACAATTGAATCATCTTTAAAAACAGAATGAACAAGTTCTCCAAATACGAGTCAAAGTGGGGATTCTTACTTGACCTGAAAAACTATCACCAAAGGACAAACTTAAAGAGGATTATACAATGTTACAAGAACACCTGGCTGTGACTAACAGTTCAAATATAAACAGGGAAGAACTGTTCAATGAACCTCTAAATGTCGGTTTTATTATTAAGGTAATAAAACTGACGTTTAGAAGTTCGCTGTCCAAAACACCATTTGTGAACAGAAGCAGAAAACGGCCAACAAAACACTATTATCATTAGAAGTACTCAATATAATCAAAAACACCAACAAAAGAGACCTTTATACTAATCTGTGGATAGTACTACGCACATTGCTGACAATTCTAGTAAAAATGGCCAGCAGTGAACGTAGTTTCAGCAAGTTGAAGTTAATCAAACTTTACCTACGTACATTGATGAGACAAAAAAAAGATTGACGTCGCTTACGATACTATCAATTGAAAACGAGGAGGCGAAAAAACTCAACCTTGGAAAAATCATTGAACAATTTTTCTTCAAAATATCTCGTAGTATACCGTTATAAATTAACCCATTTGTCAGTAATTTAAGTTTTCATTTAGAATTACATTGTTTGAAATATTTGGTTTCCTAGCTTACTTGGTTTACTTTTACTATTACTATTTTTGAATCGAATGTACATATATTTATCTTTATGGTAGATTGGTAGGTAATGTACGTATTAAAGTATTAGTGGTAACACAAAAAACTTATATATGTAATTATTACTGGGGGGAGCGGGCACCACAACCACATTTTCCCCGGGCGCCATCAAGCATAGGGACGGCCTTGCCAACCATCAGCCTTTAATTACAAGGGTTTAATTGCAAAATTGCATATTAAGGCAACAAAATTAAAAATACAAAGTAATTTGCATCTGAGAATCTATATAATAAACTTTTCTATTTTTATCTTACGTTTCTTAATCACAACTTTTAAGTTCTCGATTGCATCTTAAAAAAGTGTAAGAAAAGTTTAAAATAAGTCAATTCGATCTACGGAATCCGATTAAAGAATTTGGTTCCGTTAAACGTACGCACGTACCTATTTGATGTAATTTTAATTTATGGTTTGTATTTATTTCAGGTAAGCAAAAGATAGTATCGTTCAAATTACGATTTTGAGTTTTTTTAAAAACGCAGATCTCGCAAAAACATTATGATATCTTACACTGTAACAGTATGATATCTTATACTGTTTTTGTGAGTAATTAGGAGTGCTGGTCTATTAATCGATTTATACTTGCCTAACCCAAAATTAAACCCAAACCCTCAGTCAATATTGCAGCTTCTCTTAGCGTGTCCTACCTAAATCAGTCGATAAAGCAGCGCTTCCTTAAATGCTCTCCCTTAAAAGCTCTCATAAAATCAATATAATGTCCGGTCTGAGTTGTTTGCAAGCTAAAAAACCTCATTTTGAGCCATACTATCTTCCGGATATCTTCATTTCAAAAGGAGAACCTAAAAAGTATAAAAAGACTAAAGAAAAAAAAAAAAAAAAAAAAAAAAAAAAAAAAACAACCATTTAAAAAAAGGGTAACAATCAGTATTAAGCTACATATTTTCTGAAATAGTTTGAAGTTCGTGCTCAATAGTATATCATAAATTCAACTGCAGAAACTGATTCACTTTATCATTCAGATCCTGTTTCTGTCAAACTCATTTTTCATATAAATGAATTTTTCTGGCTTAATTTTAAATTGTATATTTTTTTACACATTCTTACTTATAACATTTTTCTCATCGTCATCATCATTTTTTTCTAATTTATAGCTCTAATTTATAGCTGTAATACAATGACTAAGAACTTTCATGTGGAGATTTGCTAATCATCATTTGGATTAAATAACACTAAACCACAAAATTTTATGTTTTCATAATAATTATTTTTAATTCAATTTTACATTAATAGGTATCCTAGATCTTATCAAAAAATTCTCCTGTTTAGGGAAATCTTTACCACAAAAGGTAAGTTTCCAATCCTGAAGTGCACTTCTTCATGTTTTTTTTAATTCTGCAAAGAAGGCAATATCAAGAAGCAAATAAGTTGAATTAGGCAAAAAGAAATGATAAAATCCAATGTTATGCTTTTCACAAGCTTGAAACTTAACTTCAATTTTTTCAGTTGATTTTTTAAGGCATGGAAATAATATTCAAAAAACAAAACAAAAAAAACATCTCAAAACTGATTTCATTAAATCAACCAGGTTAGGTTGTATTAAAAAAATAATTTTCAACGATTTTTTGGTCGAAAATTGAATGATACACTGTATCGTAAATGTCTATCCACAAAGCATCAAAGCAGATTTTGCTTCTATTCATTATTTTTTTGGGTACTTCATTTCATGTTTTATAACAATGTGGGCTAATATTATTTCAAAGGGGATCTAGCTAATTTATTTTATAGTTTTAAGTTTTTTAAGGTAATTTCCTTCAAGGTAAGATAATGTTTGATGCTATTCTATAAGTTAACACTTCATAAAAACTTTAGACTCGATCATCACCAGGAATATTGTTTTAAAAAATTCAACTGTACAATTTTATGATTTTAAGTAACCAATAACTCATATTTGAACGTTTGAATGAATAATTTATCCAAATGTATTCAATTAAATATCTTGATACTATTTAAGAATAATTTACATCTCAAATTATTACTGAGTTCATATTTGATTCTAAAATCTTTTTATTTTTTTTTGCTGTAATATAGAAAAGTTAAATAAAGAAATGTAACATAGAAAAAAAAAAGCTTTCTAGATAAATTATATTGGGTTTTTAAAAGGTTAAATACACTAAAAAAGATTACACTTCAAACTATATTTGATATGTCATACACTGAGTTTATCTCTAATTGCATTATTGTTTCTCTATCAATGATTTAATTGTAGTTTTTTATTAGTAGTTTAATAGTAATTAAAAAATGGTCAAAGTTAAGATGACCATAAATATCTAAATTTTAATCGTTTTTCACATGTTTTTTTTAATTTTTTAATAATAAATATATATAAAAATTGTAACCACTTTGTGCATCTTATTTTATTATTATATTACTAATTATTGCTGGTTTAGTTATTATTTATTACAACTTTGTATGTTTATTGGAATTTAGTTTAAGTAAATGGAATGTTCAAAATGTGAAACAGACAAAGAAGCAGAACCACTGATTAAAAATAAGGTGACTAGGTTTTTTTCACTTTTATTACTGTTTTTATTATCAATATAGTATATATCTATTTTATATATATGTGTGCAGAGACAATTTTAGGGGTGTGTGGTGTGGGGTGGGTGTCTCTCTTTTTTAGATTTAATTTTAGGTTTAAGGTCATTTTTTTTTTTATGGAACCACTTAGTACTTTTTACCCCCCCCCTCCATCCTCCTCTCTCATTTTATTTGTAGAATCACCTCTGTGTGTGTTTGTGCATGAGTGTTTAAATTGTGCTCAATGTTCTTAAAGCACAGAGCTGATTTAATTCATTAGCGCGACTTAAAGAGTACTATTTACCTCTGCAAAAAAGTTTTTAATGCACATTAACATCATGTAGTTTTTATTTACAAAAACTTTGTTTTCCTACAATATGAAAAAATTTCTATATAACATGTAAGATATTATAATCTTTTAATTTCAAATTCAGTAACATCAGTTTTCCATCTATAATCTTTATGATCTGCATCTATATCTTAACCATTTATCAATAGGAGGTTCTAAGATAAGGTACTTAATAAAACTTATTAATCAATTTGAAAATTTTATTTTCATCATTACGTTCCTTCAATTCCCTATCTAAGTGGTTCCCATCAACTTTCTCATCTAGTTGTTCTGTGAGATTACCTAGTTTTTATAATATAATTTCTTCCACAGAATCTCTTCCATTCAGTCTGGTTCTGATCATATAAAAAAGTTTTCTTATTTTCCGGTTTATATTGGTTTGCCAGTTTACTAGCAAGTAAACGATACTATAATTTTTTAGAAATATTTTTAGTAGTTGTAAATTTGTATTTTTATTATAACAAGCATAATTATATTAGTTATAAATTTTTATGATAAGTAGTTTAAATTGACTTTTTTTCACAGTTTATATGGTTTATAATAGATAGAACTTTGTCAGTAGAAATAAATTAGCGATTAAGTACAGCAAAGCACAGTGATTAAATATAAAGGTATCTTTTATATTACATTTTATATTGACTGAGTTAAGCAAAGTGCAATAATGATCACATCACATGAAATATACATAAGTAGAACCTTAGGTAGAGGTGAAAAGCTTCATTTATTACTTTGTATATGAGTCACAGTAGACCAATAGCTAGAAAAGTTTTTCTTCACAAAAATATATGCTAGCAAAAGAGTTTCTGCTTTCATGGCATCTTTTTTCCTTTTTTTACAGTGACAAAAGGCATATTTATATAAAGTACTTGGATTTTTAAAAAGAACAAAATGCATCTTTAGCATTCTTGAACATCACTCGCATATTCTGTCCAAACTGGTCTAGGTTGCTTTTTCTTACAACTTTATTTCAAGTAATTAAAACAGTTAAAATGAGGCTTTAGTTAGACAGCTATTTAGTGTTTTGTACAGGCAATTAAAATGTCTAATATGCTTATGTGAATTACAATAAATATTCCTAGAGTTAACTACTTCAAACTCATCCATATTGATTGAAGACAGTGTTAAGCACAGTAGTACTCAGCACAGTGTAAGCACAGTAGTACTCAAGCACAGTGTACTCTTTTATCAAATTGTTGATAAGACATTAGAATTTACTTTGATAAATTTTGTAGATGTTGGATGAGCAGTGGAGGAGGAAAAGGTTTCAACTTAAAATGCTTTGGAACTCTCTCCCATTTTAATGTAAGTAAGAAAAAACAAAAGTGTACTTTTTATTGCTGCATGTGTTTTTTATTTCTTTTTAGTAACCTAAAAGGAAGTAAAAGAGTTGAAAAATCCCATAATTGTTCACTATTTTCTTTTTTAGTCTTAACTATTGTCTCAAAGCTTAGTGTCAGAATAAACTACTGAAATATCTATAATTATGAAATAGCAATGTATTCTGTAATTGCTCTAAACCTGAAAAAAGTTGTATTGTGCAGTTGCAATATTTTTCTTTGGCAAATGTAGTTTACCTCATACTTTATTGTAAAAAATAACCTAACGTTACTTAATTATCCTATTAGTGACAGTACTAATGCTATTTTTATACAGTATCTTATGTTTATTTTAGTTACTGCTATTGTTATACATGTCATGTTTATTTCAGTTTTTTTATTGTTCAGGGCAGTTTTCAACAGTTTTTAAAGACTCCCAGTACAGCTCAATCATTAATCAATGGTATTCAAGGTGGTTTTGGAATTGGTTTAATATGGTTTTTTTATTCAAGTAAATTATTAATACCACATTCTTTTAATTTTTTTTTTAAACAATGCTTTATAATTTTAAAATAATGCACAGTGGGCCAGGTGGTGGACAAAACCTCAAAAATTAAAATTTTTTATTTCAAAAATCATATAATAAAACATAGTTGTAATACTCTATTTTCTTATTAAAAAATTTATTTGAGTTTAATAGTGTCTTTAAATACCACAAAAATCAATTGTGGTTCCATTTATAATAAATTACTTTATTTTTACAAAAAAGCTTAACTTTAGTATACAGTAACTTTAAAAAAAATATGTTTATGTGCAATTTGTTTTTGTATTTTAACTATTTAATAACATAACTTTGCGAAAATAATATAAATGAAAGATCAACATTTATAACACATTTATAAACTGGCTTTATAATAACAAGTTTAAAACATTTAATACTTTTATTTTGTATAAAAAGTGTCAGATAAGTTAGGTAACCTAGAAGACCTATATTGAGTGCTTGAGCTAGTAAATGCAACATGTCTATAACCTATTAGAACTATGTACATTGCCCCTATTTTCTCCTTTTTAGTTATTTGAGATTTTAAAAGTACAAGTTTCAAGTTGTATTATTCCCTTGAAATGGAAATACTAATTTAAAACGTCATGTTTTTTATTCACCTATAATAAAAATACACTTTATTTTTTCACCAATAAAATTCAATTCACATTGTACTGTTTGAACAATTCTTTTTTTTTTTTTTTTTAGTTATAATATGAAAATTGGTAAGATTCACACACTTATAAGACAACAAAAACTAGTTTCTAATGATAAATCATTTTTTTCATCAGTATTAGCTCTCATAGCTTCAGTAGATTTTAAATTAAAAGATTGTGAGTGTAAAAACTTTATAAAAGTATATTTTAAAAAGTGAATAGCTGCAAACAATGATATTATTCATTTTTAGAAAAATAATGAAAATTGGCTAACTAAAGATTTTCAGTTTGCATACATTACGCTAAATTCTACATTTAATGAAGTTGGACCATGTTGCTCTTTTGAAAACTCATGCGACAGAACAAAAAAAAGAAAGCTTAATAATGTTATTAGCAGTTTATCTGGCGTTGAATTACTTTATGCAACAAAATTGAAACTTAGGAATGAGTTTAAGTACAAGACTGCTAAAAAAATTGCCAAAATTTCAGATGACAAACCTGTTAAAACTCCCAAGAAGTATTCACTTTATGAAGGTCTAGCAATGATTGTTGATGGTGGTATATCAAAATCACAATACCAGCTTTTACAAAATGGTGCTGAAGAAAAAGGCTGCCACATCTATCCTTTATACAATGATATACGTTTTTCAAAAGCTAAATGCTATTCAAAAAACATTTATGTAGATGAGTATACAGTAAACATACCGCTAAAATACCTTCTGATGCACACTCTTGAAAGACTGTGACGTACAGGTTCCTGTGCTAATCACAATGTTAAAGGAACTAACTAAACTGATTTTTAGATGCAATGGTGAGTTTGATGGTGTTACAGGGCAAAGTGTTTACAAGCAGGTTAGCCATAATGAAAACATTGAAAGAAATCTAAAGAATGAAGATTTATTTATTAGTTGCATAGTACCATTAAAACTAAGTGGATATATAATAATAAAAATGTAGTAGTGTGGAGAAACGAAAAGCCATCATCAAATGTATATTGTTGACCAGTTAGATTTTTGTTTCAAAAGGAAACCAAGGATGTTGTAGAGTTTTCGATTTTGGAAAATCCTTTCCGAAATTGAGAAATGTGATATTATTAACATTGTTTTTGCAGGAAAAAAAATAGCTGTAAAATGTTTTATTGAGCTGACCATGATAGATAGTAAAATTCAATCAGTATTATCAACTATGACAAACTCGACACAGTGTTGTCCAGTTTGTGTTATATCTCCCAAAAATATGAACAACTTGGAGAAAGTATTGAGTTAAGACACCAATAATTTAGAGTTTAAATATGATTTATCCAGCCTACAAACTTGGATAAACTTTTTTGAGCTAATACAGCATGTTGGATATAAAAAGGAAGCTGGAAAATGGCAGACTAGAACCATAACTGATAAAATAGCGGTACAGCACAGGGCTTGAATTAAGTGATTGTGAATTGAAATATATGGATATGCTTCCAGTCTTTAAATTTTTAGCTTTTTAAAAACCGTAAAACTGTTTTGATCACTAAACTCAATAGCTGTTATTCAATAAAAAAATATTTATGTTGATCTTGAATTATGATATAAATCTTATTGAAAAACCATATTATTATTATTATTATTTTTGTTATTGTTAAAGATTATGATTTAAACTTTAATATTTTAGTTCATTTTATAGAACATCAAATAAAACTAGAAAAATAAAGCACAATAGAGTACAATATAATTATTAAAAAACAACCGCTTATCGCAACAGTCTTGTGATTTTAATGCGCATCAATAATTTGTCAATAATTAGCAAAGCTAATTATTGACAAAAGTCACACATTACATATTTTTATTATTATAACGTTTTGTATAACGACCACTAATCGTTGACAAGAGTCACAAGTTGAATTTTTAAATACTATATATAGTGAACAAATTTGTTGTAAAAATGTTGAGATTGTTGATAAGTAATAAAAATATTAAAAACAAAATGGCTTCTAAATGCGTTCAACAACAAGTCTAAAGGAATTTAGCAGTGATCAAATATTTTAAATAAAAAAAATTGTTAAATAAGATATAAAATACTTTTATATCTTATATTAATCTTATTCAATATTTTCTTATAAATTAAATGCTCGTAACTTTTTGGCAGATATGTATAAAAAATTAAAAGACAGAGAAGTTTAAAAATATATAAAAACTAATTTAAACTTTTTATAATTATTTTAAAACAAAACAAAAAAACAATAATAACTTATTTTAAAATATATATTTTTTGTTATTATTTTTATTATTGAATAATTAATTTCTAATTGAAAACATTTAAATTTTTAAATTAATGATTCCTAAACCTTTTCCTCTAAACAAAAATCAATATTATTGTTTCATACAATGCGCAAATAGTTTTATCTTAATTTTTTATTGGTTGATTTTTCAAATTATGTTTCATACAATGCACAAATAGCTTTAGCATAGTTTTTTATTGGTTGATTTTTAAATTACCTCGCAAATTTTTCGGACTTTTAGTAATAATTGTTTTTGTTTTGCAACTTTTTATTTGTTTATTTATAATCCCTAAATTACCTGGTGTTTCAAAAAACAATTTAAAATATGTAAGTTTTGAGTAAATTTATTGTTTTGTTTTTTCATTAATTTTTGCAATATGATAAATTGACCATTTTTTTTTAAACTGTTCACGGTTTTTAATAAATTAAGAATTTAATGACCAGAAATATTTCTGGATATTAAAATTTGCAATCACTTAATTCAAGCCCTGCAGCAAGTAGAGTGCTGAATTCAGACCGATTTTATGAACCAAATGGGATTGGTTGTAAATTTTTCTTAAAGTGGAGGATCGGGTAAGTCAAATTTTATATTACTAGCTGAGATCGGCCCCATAAAAATACAGGTCTTTGTATATCTATTCCAACTTTTCTATACTTTTTCCGGATCCGTAAAATACAGGTCTTTACCAATTTACATATCTATTTCTAGCCAAAAATTTCTTTACCTATTCCTTATTTACTTCAATATTTTTTATTAAAATAATTTATTTTGATAAAAAAATTTAAGAGCAAAAAACTTATTATGCGCACCTTTTCCGCATACATAGACCTTATAAGAGGCTTATAATTAGGTTTGTTTTTCTGCTAAATGTATTTCATTGGTAGTGCAGTGGTTAAATACGCTGTCATCATTATTGTTTTTTGGAGGGTTTAAAACCTCCTCTTAACGTAATAAATTTTGAAATTTTTTCAATCTTGCTTATATATTCATAGCAAAAAAATAAGAATATAGAAAAAAGATTTCTAAAATTTAAAATAAAATTTTCAAGTTTTCTCATTTTATAGATATATCGATATACATGATTATTCCATAAAATGCCTGCAAACTCAATATAAAGTATTGTACGTAAGTTTACACTTACATAAATTTGTACGTAACGCTATACAAATGAAATTAAGAAGATCTAAAGAGCACTAAACCAAAGTCATAAAAAAATTAATTCTTACGATTAAGAACTAAAAGAATAATATTAAATGCTTATCTAAAAGTTAAGCCAAAATGATTTTAGGCATTGACGTCAGTTTGTGGCAAAGTAAACCTTTATGCGTCAAGTTTTCTTTTGCATTTATCTTACATTTTTTTATTAATTTTATTATGTTGCATACAAATGCATGAAAATATATAAAACTGGTACAGATATATCATTTTTACGGATAAGAGATTGTATTTATTACAATAGTAATAAATAAATAGTTTTGGGGCCTTCCATAAAAGGCGTCATTATTTTTTAGCCAATTTTCGACCCCCTCCCCCCTTTGTCACCGGTTGTCCTTTTTCCCTATACCCCCTTGAAAAGGGCGTCATAAAATCCTGCCCTCTTTCCCCCAATTTAAACCCCCCAAAAATTATTTAATCTCGCAATGATGTTTGAATCTGCTGCTACACTATTGAAAATAAAGTTAAAAATATTCTCATATATTATCTTCATAAAAACACATATTTACATAGTTTTAATTAAACTAAAATAAAAAATCTATAAAGTGACATCCTTTTCTGATAAACTCCCCCCTCCCCTTGTTCTTTTTGTCCTTTTTATCTCAAACCCCTTCCCTCTCCCTATTTGAATGACGTCCTTTATGGGTGGCCCCTTTTGTCTTTATTAGAATATATCCCATAAAAATGTATTCCATATATCTTTAATAGATAGAGTTTTTATAAAAAATGAAATAAAATCTTATTTCTATGAATATTATTTTTAAAGGTCTAAGAAGCAGATGACATAACTTTAGAAATCAGAAATTATTGAGAGAGGAGCAAATTTAAAGTTGAAGTTTCA